TGAGCTACAAGCAAATCTACAGAAATTACGTACAGCCTGATCAATATATGTCAGGTCTTACTCATATACCACCTGAAACCTTGGGGAAGGCAAGCTGCTCAACCCTTAATTTGATGACTAACAGCCACTCAAATCAGTATAGCAAGATATTGGAGATCCCTAAAGACTGCTTTTATGGAGATTTGATCAACAACTTTGGGAATGAGCACTTATGAAAAAGCTAATTCAAGTCATGCAAGAGAAAAAGGAAAACGGTCTGATAACTTTTATGCAGTTTGGTTTAAATGTATTGTTTTTGCAACAATTAAAATGCACAGGGATTTATGGAGGGACACTTTTAATTCCTTTTGCTGAAGTATTGTTATGATTTCTAAATAACAAAACATCGTGCCTCTCTTCCTTGTTTCTTTATGTACCTTATTGTATCTCATTGATTATATGTGGAAAATAGTTTTTTAAAAAAGATGCAAGAGAAAGAGGCAATGGGATGATGGGAGTTCAGTTCAACATTTGGAGGGCATCACGTTGGTGAACTGTGCAACTGCTGTACAATGTTTAAAAAGTTTGGGTGCTTTATAAGTGATAAGTAAAAAACAACAGGTACATGAATCTCATGAAGTGGACTCTGGACCGCAAAAGCTTCTACCATAATACACTTGCTAGTCTTTAAGACACTACAAGACTTGCTGCACCACAGGCTAATGCTGCCCCTCTTTAAAGAGTAATGAGGGGTTGCATTTTTTGTTTTCCTTCATTCCATCTTCTGTGTACTCACCCAGCCTGTGTGCAATGAACTCATCATGGAGCACAGAGGAGTTGGCATCTATCTGGACCCAGTCTATGGCTGCAAACAAGACAGTAAGAACTCAAAATGAGAAAATACTTTTTCACCCATCAACGGTAAGAGAATGTGGGCTCTGAGGCACATCTACACTTCAAACTAGGCTTCTCCCCTGGTGCTCTCCATATGTTTCAGATTACAATTTCTGTCAGCTCCAGACAGTACAGCTACATGATGCTGGGGCTGATGAGAGTTGTGTGGTCTATGACAAACCTAAATTGGTTTGGTTGTAAAGAGTGGCCCCCAAGTTCCTTTGAGAACTGCAGACTGGGGCGATGCTGAAAATTTTCTGCTAGAGACCTGGAATTTCCTTAGAGGACTACAGTTCTGGAGGGCCTTGAGAGAAGCCTTGGCTTTAGTATAGAGCTGAAAACGCTATTAGAGAAGCATGCAAAAGCACAACTTTTTCTAAGTAATACATTCAAATCTAGGTTACTGACCAGGATGAATAATATTTTTTCTTCTTTCCTTGCAAGAGAGCTTGAAAATTGGGGTCTTGGTGGACCACTTAAATCCCCCCTTCAGAGCCAGCATAATCAAAAACAGTGCTGTGTTTTGAAGACCACTAAGAGGCCCCAGACCAAGCTCTGGAAAAGAACCCCTTTTAATTGTATTCTTTGGGGTGGGGGAGTTAATTAGCACACTGCACCAGTGCCATAATGTGAAAATCATGGTCCCTAAGCCAGGACTTTGCTAGCCTGTTTGATAAATCCAACCCTGGGAAAAACTGCCTCAATCTCCAGTGTCAGGGAAGGGGGAAATCAAGTGCAAGGAAGGCCCAGTTCAGATATCTCAACCTTTCTGAGGACTACCTGAGTGCAGCTTGTGGACCACAATATCTGAAATAGGACAGAAACATATTGTGTGTGTATGATGCATGTGTATGCGCACCAGCATCTTTGATCAGCCTAGCAAAGAAGAGACAAAATATAAAATGGGGAAATACCTATGATGGGAACTTCAGCAATGAAGACTCTCCTGATGGAATTTGCTACTCTAGAATAGAAAAAAACCAACAGTTTTTATACAATCTGAATTGTATTTCTGAACCACGTGTGTGAAGTTATGAGCCCCCTTCTCAGCTCGTGCTTTGAGAACTATTTCTGAAGTGCCTTGGGTGCAATCTCCCTCTAAAACTCTGCTATGGATCAGAGCCCTGAGACAAGGCAGCCAGGGCAAAGGAACCACAACCAGGCCACGGAGGGGATCTTGCAAGAGACTCATATTTCAATGCAACAGAGAAGCAGAGGGTGGGGGCAGTTTGTGTTGGGGAAAACAGGTCTTTTAAGAGTCAGTGGCACAGTGTAGACTTAATGGGAAATGACTAGGCCAATTTCAGAGGAAACCAATAGTCCTTTCCTGCTTGGTATTTTAGGGATGTGTGCATGTGTTTCTAAGTGTTATCTGCCCAAAGTGCTACCCTCCAGAGTCTTCCTCATCCAGGGCTTATGCATGCATATGATCACTAATGTGCCCAATAGTACAGACTTTGCTATGTTACACATAGCAGCTGCTGACAGATTCATTCTGAACTGTTTTTAATATTCTATAGAACAATTACACAGAGAGAGTTATAGTTAGAGTTGTTATAGTTCCTACAGATATTGTTAGCATCTCTTTAACCAGAAGAACAAGCACTTGCATTGCCAAGCATCCTGTTCTCAGTGGCCAACCAGATGCCCCAAACAGAAACCCGCAAACAGGACCAGAACACAACAGCCCTCTCCCCTCCTGTAGTTTCCAGCAACTGGTATTCAGAAGCATTGCTGCAGAGCATAGCCACTGCAGGTAGCAGCCATCAACAACCCTATCCTCTACAAATCTATCTTCTTTGGAAGTCATCCAAGTTGGTGGCCATTGCTGCCTCCTGTGGGAGTTTAACTATGCGCTTGCATGAAGGACTTTCCTTCATCCGTCCTGAAACATCCAACATTCAGCATCACTGAATGTCCACAAGTTCTAGTGTTATGTGGAGGAGGGATCTCTCTCTATGGCATATATAACTTTATAAACTTCCATCATGTCCTGGCCTTCCTCACCTTTTCTCTAACCTAAAAAGCCCCATAGTGCTGTAACCTGTTGAATGTGGGATAACTTCAGGGCAGATAAATGACTTTTTCACACAGCACAGTTAATCAGTGGCATTCTCTCCCACAAGACGTGGTGAGGACCAGCAACTTGGATGGCTTTAAAATTCATGGGGTCTATGACTAGGGCCGGATTTAGGTTTGATGAGGCCCTAAGCTACTGAAGGTAATGGGGCCCTTTATATATCCAGCTGTCCTTTGTCAACAACAAAGTGTCGCTATTTTTTTGTGTTGAATACATGCTATATGCTAATTTATGGTCCTAATAGGTATCTAAAGCCGTTTGAAAAGAACAAAATATGTATTTTATCAAAGTACATCCAGTTTTTCCCCTTTAATTCTTTGGGGGGGCCAAGAGAGTGGGGCCCTAAGCTATAGCTTGTTTAGCTTATACGTAAATCCGGCACTGTGAATCCACGGCTACTACCCCCCAACATCCACGCGCTGCCCCCCCCCCGCCCCCATGGGAGGCCAGAGCCCCCTGAATCCTGAACATCCCCAGGCGGAGAAGAGTGGGAGAAGAGTGCTGTCTCTGGCCCTGCTCTCGGGCTTCCCAATGGGGGATGTGGCTGCTAGACTAGCTGCGCCCCCCTGCGTTTTGAGCCCCCAAAGCTCTTCTCTCTTCGATGTGCATGCAGTGAGTTAAGAGCGGGGGGTTCAAGGCGCGCGGCGGCCGGTAGTAGCGCGGCCCGAGAGGAACCCGCCCGGGGGAGGCTTGCGGAGGCCCCGACCCCACGCCCGTAGCCCCCCCCCCCCCCGTCCTCACGCCAGGTCGGTGTTCTCGATGATGAACTTGACGTTCTCGTCGCTCAGCTCCGTGATGCGCACCGTCGGCTGGTTGGCGTAAGGCATGGCGGGGCCGCCCGGCAGAAGCACCAGGACCTGGAGGAGGAGCGGGGACAATTCTTCCGTGCCTCCTGCCTGGGAGAGGCGCAGCCCAGCGCCGGCTCACGGTTCCTTGCTCGCCCCCCAGCGACCCGGAGGACCCGGCCTGGGCGGCTGCCTCGTGGTGGCTGCTCTTAGCTTCCCTCTGTGGCTCTGGTGGGCCTTGGTCTGATCTTTACTCTCCGCCGCAAGCCAGGGGATGTTTCCCTCGCCTGGGTACGTGGGGTTGTGGTTGCTGCTGCTGCTGTTGCTTCTCCTCCTTCATCTGCACATGGGACACAAACTCTGTCAATAATCACGTCGGCTGAATATTTATAAGGACTTTGGAGGAATGCTTCAGTTGTTGCTGTCCTCATGTTTACGGTATATCCCACCTTTCCTCCCAGTGCAGCTTGCATTAAAAGCACCACACAATAAAACACAATTTCGGTAACAAAGCATAGTGCACAACTTTGTTATCATTTTGTTTCCTCCAGATACATATAGTACCACAATGTGTAGAAGGACCCAAGACCTTGTGACTGGTCTAAGCACTTGTTGCATTTCATAGCTAGAAAGCTTCAAAGGGTATCTTGTGCATCGCTATTTATTCAACAAAGAATGGAGGTGGTTTTACCACGATGAAGTGGACTGTGGCCTTGAAACCATAATGAATTTGTTTCAGTGCAATCCTATATTCTGAGTCTACAGTACTCAGAAGTAAGCCCCAGTAAGGTTACTTTACTTTGCCTGCACACAGGATACTTCAAAGTCCACAGTTGGGCATCTTTCTTAGGACCAGCCTAATATAAGAATTGATAAAATATATGCACTTAAGACTGCAGCCTTAGTATTTGAGATGCCACTGCAAGACTGGATGCAATGAATCCTTGATCTGTACCGTGGGGTGCTGAGCCTTCTGATAAAAAACATTTCAGTATATTTTACTGCTTTTTCTTTATCATTCTGGTTTATTTTGTACATTTTAATGCTAAGGGCATTCCTTGATTTGTTACTACTCTTTTTATATCACCTGTTTGAAAGGTGGCTTATCATAAATCTATAAAATAAAACATTTCCGTTTTAAGCTCGTATTTGACTGATGAATGCAGAAGGAGCATCTTTGTGGGGGAGGGAAAATAACTGCTCTCCTCCCCAAGTCTCCGGGTTGTAGTAAGAGATACGAAGCTCTTGGGGCCTCCTGTCTCCATGGCAACCAAGCCCGACTGGTAGTGATTGCAACCGGCGGGAGCGTGGCTGCCGCGCCTTCGCTCACATCCGGGTATTTTCGACAGCCGCTGACCCTCCCTCCACCTCCCGCGGTCGTGAAAGAGGGTGCTTTCCGGACCTATAAGCAGTGGAACAGGTCTTACGCCCCCGAGCTATTTATTTAACAAACAAAAAAAATTGTCCGCTGTTCTTAATGCCTTAATAAATTTAGCGTGGAAATAAGGCGGCCGCGGTGGCTGCTGGGAGAAGCCGGGCTCTCCTCCAATCAGAGCACGCGGCGCGGAGAAGAACAGCGTCGACGTGACGGGCTCGCGTCGGACCGAGGAAGCGGAGCGAGAACGGTAAGAAGCCCTTTGGCTGGGGGATGGCGGGGAGCGGACGCAGCTGAGGGGAGCTTTAAACCTTAGCCTTCCTCACGCGAGTCTCCGCCCGGCACGCGTTTACAGGCCCTTCCTTCCTTCCTCAGCCGTAGGCCCTAGTACCCGGATGTGCCGCCTTCCACCCTTCCCGCCCCGCTTTAAGGTGCCAAACACCATTAACGCCAGGGCAGAGGGGCCTCTTGACCCAGCGTCCTGCTTCCAAACAGCGGTCGCTCACTAGATAGCGGGGGGTGAGGGTTTCCCCTTCCTGCTTATCCCCAACACCATGGAGAAACTGTAGGGAGCCAGACTGCCTCTGCACCTGGAGGCTCTATTTTGAAATCATTGGCTAATAGCAGCAGATGACCCTCTTCTTCCTGCTCTGTGGATTTGTCACCCAAACCGCTTAGGCTGCAGACCTACACACCTTTAACTGGAAGTACGGCCCATTGAGCTTACTTATGAGTAGACATGCAAAGGACTGTGCAGCCACCGGTAACCTTCGCCTTGGATTTTTCTAAACCTCTCCTAAAGCTGCCAGTTCTGCCCGTAAAAGGTTCCATGCTTAATCAACGTTCCAGATAAAGTAGGTTATGGAAGAGGCCTCACCTGAGATCATGATGAGTCACTACCAGCATGTAGCTAGATGAGCCCAGTGGTCTTGAGTCTGTATGAGGGAGATTTTGTATGTTCACATGGCTATAGTTAGATACAACAAATTCTTTAAAGCAGAAGTTGTGTGCTTTGTCTTGTCTTTCCTAAATCTACTGTGGATCAGTTGGTGATCCCCAAGTTCTAATATTAAGAGAAGGCAATATATTTATTTTCTATCCATCCATATCACATCACCCATAGCGTTATCAACCTCTAGCATATTCTTCCAGAATTGTCTTCTTTTGCTCAAACACTTAAACAAAATAATAGAGGGGTTGTTCACTTTCTTGAGGAAAGGTTTTTCTTTTTCTGCATCTGTCCAACTCTACTGTAGCCTTCTTCAGGTGTGTTAATGAGTTAATGTTAATTAAGTGGTGGGGAGGAGCTCCAGGGACAGTCCTGTTAGCACTGCCTTCCACCACTATTCCACAGATTGCACTCTGCACAATTTGGAGAATGACAGCCGGCAGAGCTAGCAAACTTGTCTCCATAGGGGCCCCCATATTTTTGGTTAGCATATGCAAAAACATATGTCATTGAGCTAGCCGTCTAGAATCCATAAGGACAGGAAACAGGGATATGGACTTACAGACCTACCTCTTTATATGAACATCCAGACTTGCACTCTCAGAAACAAGGATATGAACATATATGAGAATGAGACTGAGGGAATGTGTTGCCTACAGCTGCTCAATGAAGAGTTTACAACTCAAGTCTCTTAGCTACTTTGTTACACTGCTGTTTATCATAATAAATTTGTTAGTCATTAAACTGCCATAAGACTCTTCTTTGTTTTAGCTCTCTGAGATAATACAATTTAGATCCTTGCCTCGCTATAGCAGGCTTCTGGTTGTTGTTGCTGGGTAGTGTCAAAGCTCTGTGTACAGTGGAGGAATAAAGCCCATTGAGCATAGTGGAACTTTCTTCTGAGCAAATCTGCAGAAAGTGGTGGAAAGTCAAAAGTGAGGGGGCAGCTGAATGCCACACAGGAAAATCTCCACAGCTGGAATGCAGCCATAGAAAAGGCCCTCTTGCATGTGTCAACGGACATAGCATCACCCTGCGTCATGACATAGAGAAGTGCCTCTCCATCTTGTGTATGGGAGAAGGAATTCCTTTAGGTTCCCTGGACTCCAAGCCATTTGGGGTTTATAAAGGTAATCTCCAGAATTTTAATTGCACCTGGAAATGTATTGCTAACTAGAGCAGTTGTCCTTAAGTGGCCACAATATTTTCCCACATTCATGAGCATCCCAAGCCACACTGTGGACCAGTTAAAGCTTCCAGAGGTTCTCTTCATAGGTAGCCTCATGTAGTACATTACAGTAAGTACAGTCTTTATGTAACCAAGACATGCTACCGTGGCTAGATACAGAAATGAACATAGTTGGTGCACCAGCCTAAACTGGGCAAACGTCCTCTGGCCACAGCTACTTCCTTGGTATTCAGAAGGTGGTTGGGCCCAGAAGTCCCAAACTATGCACCTTTATTTTTCAAGATGTCTGCTACTTTCTTTAGAAAAGCCTGAACATTGCACATCCTGCTTTTCAGCAGGATTATGTAAAGCTGCATTAACTTTTCATTACTAACTAGTTAACATAGCATGAAAACAGCACGGAAACTACCTTGCCAAAATGATTAGTCCTGTTCCTTTCTTGCGACGAATCTCACAAAGGTCCTTGACACAGAAGTGATGTTGCAGCTATGAAATCTTGCACTAGTTAGTGGGCATAAAAAATTATTTTGCAGTGTTGTGCTGGAGCACCCCAGAGGCATGCCTGTGTGTGTGTGACATGTAGTGTTGAATCTTGCACTATTAATTGGAATGCTTTTAGCACTCTTTTTAGAGCTGGATGTGTCTGAACTCTCTTGGACTTAGAGGAGGAATTTTAAACACACTACTAAAAGCAGACTATAGGATTGGTGTGAACCCAACTATTGCAATATGGGAAGTTCTTGATGTTCAGCAACAGAGTTATTAACTGGAAATTGTGTACAAAGCAAAGTGACTTGTTTTGTCCCTGTCTGCAGAGTGGGCTGTGCATTGAAATAGCACAATGTCATTTTCTTTACTACACATGATTGTTTTACATTGCAAATGGGTGTTGTGTGTGTTTTATCAAGTGAACCTGCATTGCAGGGCTAGAGCTATCGTAATGGAATGGAGTCTCTGTATGAATCCTAAATTGTCTGGGCTTTGTGAAATGTTTCTGAGGACTTCTCCTGAATCTCTCATTATACATTCTCTTTTCCTTCTCAGTCATTTTAGAGTGGTTAATCTTGAAGACAGCCTATCAGCATGCATCTTCTCTAATTTTGTGCTCCAGTTTTATTTTCTTCAAGATGGAGCTTACCTTTTAATATGCAATCCACCAGGAATGCCTCCTCAACATTGTTTAAATGAGTGGGACTTGGGGAATGGCACACAAATATATTGTCTTGTCTCTTGCGTGGGTCCGCAACACCTTTTGGTATGGCTGTGGCATGAACACTGAACAGGTAACACCCAGGCACAATTTCCACCTCACACTTTTACTCTACCTATGCAGACAGAGTAAGAGGAGACTATCTGGCATGTATGTGGAGTTGTGTGTGTGTGAGAGAGAACTAAATTTTGTTGCCTTTAGTTCTTAGTGGATGCAAAGGAAAGAAACTCTGTTTCCCTGCCTAGCGACCAAAAATCCTTTTTGTATTTGCTTGAGTAATGATTCTCCAATGTAGTGATTGTCAGTTGCTTTATTAAAAAAGGGTGGTGGAGGAGAGAGACTCTGTGTAAGCCTCTTCCAGGATAAGGAATCAAGCTGAAGAAGGATCAGCTGGTGGCAACAACCTTGATTTGAAGTGGATGGGAATCAGGGAGAAGGAATAGAAGAGGGACTAAAAAATGGTTTAGAGCATTAGAGACTAACCTTTTGGTCCAGTGTGCTGCAACTTATCAGAGGTATGAGAGAGGCCAACTGGAGTAGCAAGTGAAAACCCGTCTGCAATGCAGGTATAGTTGTAGGCTGCATAACTGAGAAGCAGACAGCAGTGTTGGAGAAGCAAGCACAGGCCTCATTCTCTGCCTTAGCCAGCCCTGGGGGACCTCCTACTCTACTGCAGGCAAGCCAGAAACTTCTACTTTCAATCTGTCACTGAAAAAAGTGCTGTAGCAGCAGTGGAGAACCCCAGGCTGCTACCTTCCAGACTTCCTTTAGGATTCTGCCCAGGCCACACCTCTCACCAGCTTGAGTGTTTTTGCCGGACTGGAATGTGTCATTGAACTCGGATAATGCCTCTTGCATACTTGTGTGGAGGATACAGAGTGGGGTGTTAGTGTGTGTGCAGAAACTAGTGTACTGTACAAAGGTTTAATTTTATGTTCATTGCTGTGCCTACTTTTGCCTCTGGCCCTACTCCCCCCCCCCACATATGACCCCCAAAGGGAATGTGGCCCTTAGGTTGAAAAAAGTTCCTATTCTGGAACAAGAGCCCTTTATAAATGGATACATAATCAATGTGAATGAGCTGTGTGCACACACATATTCACACACATTGGATATTGGCAAGAGTTGCATTGACCACCTAGAGCAGGGGTCTGCAACCTTTAAGACAAAAAGAGCCACTTGGACCCGTTTCCGAAGAAAAAAAAACCTGAGAGCCGCAAAACCATTGCGACATTTAAAACAAATATATCTCCAGAGCCGCGATCTGACAGCAGGCGGGAAGGTGACGTCGGGACGGTGCGTGACTAATGCACGCACCGCCCCCATGCAACGTCACAGCCAGTACAGCGCCCGCCACAGTGGGGAATGTCGGGGTGCACAATGCGCCTCCTCCCCTCGCTAGTATCCGCCCCGGAGCCGCGGCAAATGTGTAAAAGAGCCACATGCGGTTCCGGAGCCGCGGGTTGCTGACCCCTGACCTAGAGGAAAATGAATGGCCCAGCATTCCATTTAATTGACCAATCCAGCCATGTGCAGTTGCTGGAAAGCTCAGCAGGGGAGAGTGGTGTTGCCCTCAGGCACTGTTTGATATTTCTGACCACTGTCAGAACAGGATGTTGGCCTAATATGTAGGCCCTTATGTTCTTAAGTTTCACCAAGTGATAAATTGTAGACTGGTTATTTTTCTGTTAGAAGTTGGCTATTTCTCTGTTCTGTTTTCCAAACATTATAGTTTCATTTTAATGGAGGTTGTTGTTTCAGAGCATAGATATTGGCTTAATGCAGCAGGAACTATTGACAGATCTTCAATCTTGATTTTGATGAGTTTTGCTCTACCTGGCTTTTGGACAACTATTTGATTCAGAGAACTTAGTTTACTACCTTCTGCCAGATCCACCTCTTTGGGCTCTCAGTTGTTGCTTTTTCCTCAGCCAGATGTGATGATTCTGGCATCATTTCGCTCATGACTGTGCTATTGCTTTCCATACTGAGCAACCACATTAAGAGTCTGACTGCAGTCCCTTGAATGCAGTAAAATTCTATCCATGTAAAGGCTATAACTTCTGTGCACCAATGGTCTGGAAAATATTGAATCCTGTCATTTGGGAAGAAAGCCCCCTATTTCTTGGCTGGTCCAGGGCTAAATAGCCATTGAAAAACAAGAGCACTTAAGTATCTCGCCCCCACCCCTGCCCCTGCTGCTGTCTTCATTCAAAATTCGCCATAATCAGACATAGCCTTCTATTGTTGGACCTTGCCTCCTGAATTCACTCCCCACAGATTGCAAAATCCAAGGCATATAAGGGAGGCTTCAGCTGAGGCAGCACTTCCCATTTTGCTTCAATGAAACAGGATGTCCTTCCCCCAGTATTTAGCAATGTGTTTTTTTTTTATTCTTTCCTAGCATCCATTACTGTCTGCTTGTACTCTTTTTTTTTTGCCAAGGTTTTAAGGTGTAGCTTGAATTCCAGCTTTTATGAATGAGACTTGTTTTAGCTGTTTTTAAGATGAACTAAGAGCTGAAATTTTCACATACAAAACTGCTTAACCATTTTAACCTAGGAAAACTGAGCTTTCTATTTGTTTTTAAACCTACCATTTTAAAATCAAATCTGACTCTCTCACTAGCTAGATTTATATTGTGTGGAACTATGTACAGTATATCAGAGTTTTCTTTTTACCCTTTCAAGCTTCCCTGCTAGGGTAGTGCTGAATGCTAGGTTTCTATAGGCTTCCTACACCTGTAGTTTAGTTCCTGACTCATAATTTGGTGCTGTGGAAGAGAGATGTATAAAGAGGCTCCAGTTACGGGGATGTTTATTATATTGTTTTTAAGGCTTTTATTAAAACCTTCACTTTTAGAAAATGTAAAGAATGCCAAGGCTTTGATTCAAATGCAGTTTTATCTGGAGATTTGTGGGACAAGCTTTCCTTGGTACAAATACCAGCCTTTGTAGGTATGCTGCTGACATTTTGCACTAGGGTTCCCATCAGTCTTGGCCAGCATAACTCTGCTGGCTAGGGCTGATGGGAGTTGTAGTCCAAAGATCAGGGCAGCATCAGTTTGGGAATGGCTGGTCGAGGCTAACCCAGCTTCTGAATCACATTTTGTGATCCATTGCTGTCAGCTGGCGTTACCCATGCTTTTTGCACAGTTCAGTTTAAAAGTACTATTTTAAAATAAAAGTACTATGTTATTTTAAAATAAACGTAACAGTACCTTTTTACATTTCTAATAATTTTCAGTGAGGTTGGTTTGAGAGATGCCTGATCCTCACTCCAATTTTCTCTACCTTCTGCCCTTCCCACCCCACTCTTGCTGTTTGGATAGAAGAAAGGCCAGATGTGGGTTAAATCTAGCAATATTCTCATGATCATTCCAGCTTTTTTACAGATTTGCATGTGTGTTTTATACTGATTTATGGTTGCTTCCCTGTGTGCCATTCAAAAGCGAGAGCAGGGAAATGCATCATCGGAAGCAGCCCATGGAGTGTGCTTTGCTTTACATACTTATTGGCTTCATTGTCGTCGCAGAAGTTTGCTGGTGCTCTTGGTGTCGTCTTACCGACGATGTAGTTAATGAAAAAGAGAAGTGAACCGGATCAAAGTGGAGCGTGTGCTGTTCCTTCTGTCAGTACCAGACGCACTGCTGCACCTTCTGGAACCGGCAGTGGCAGCCTTAACTGGGTGGGAGGGCAACTGCTTCGGTCACTGTCTGCCAGCAGAGGCTTTTCTGTCAGCGGTGCACAGTCATTCTCTGCCAAAGGGGAAGCAGCTTGCAAGGAGATGCTGAGGCGACATCCTGTACTGCATTGCAGGGCATGAAATTGCCTTTTCTCTGTGACCTGGCTCTCTCCCTGGCTTCCATGGCCACCGCCTGCGCTATTTATTGGATTATTGAAGTCTGATGGCCATTTACGTTAGCAAAAGAGCCCAGGGCCTGGCGATAGGGGAGGTTCACATGGTCTCCATTGTCTGGAGCCAGCCTGATTATTTGCATTTTTTGGCATTTGCATGAATTCTGGGATTAGCTTTTTCTTCAGGAACAAAGCCTTGTAAGGATGGGTAGGCCATACCTAGGGAAAAGGCATATACGCTCTCTGCGCCTTGGGTTCCAGGGTGCACACTTCCCTGTAGGGACAAGCATATTCTAGACCCTTCTAGACCCCAGCCACTGAAGCCTGTTCTTACCTACATAGCTCTATCCTGGATTCTGCTTCTTGGTCACCCTTAAGTGTCATGGCATGAGGGGAAGTGGCTTTATTTGTATCAGGGGTGGGGGACCTTAGACCCAGAAGCCAAAGGCAGCCCTCCAGGCCTCTTTCACTGGGCACTGGGGCTTTGCTCAGGCCACACACCTCTCCCTAGGCTACAGTCCTCTGATCAGCCCTGTTCCATACACTCCTCAAATGTGTTGTTGTGTTTTTTTTTTGTTTTTTTTTTGTTTGTTTTTTTTGCATTCTGGAAGTGTAATAATGACTTTTGATTGCCTGGATGGAGAAATGGAAGTGTGCATAGAAACCTCTAACTGAACATAGCCTACTATGCAAAGGGTATAATCATATATGTTCCTGTGCCTAATTTCCTGTAGGGCCCTGCCCAGCAGAGGCACGTGACACCTAGAAATTTGCCCATGAGGGAATTGCAGCCCTTAGGCTAAGATAGATTTCCACCCCATCTTATTACTGATACCTATTATCAGTTTGTCTGAACCTTCAAGTATTGCTTCTTTTTCTACCCTAATAGTGAAGTGTTGCCTTAAACAGAGTGGAGGATGGGCTGACTCAGGTTAGATCAAACAGATCAACAAACTTCACATAGGAAGAGAAATAAACTACCACAGGCAGATCAATGCAAACAGAAGTGAAAAGTAAGACTATGGAGTGGGGTTGGCACAGTGAAAATCAAGCTTTATAAATTCTGGCTTTTAAAGCACTTAGCAGATTGCAGCCTGTTTTGGCATAACTTATTCCTCCCTGAGAGTTCTTTGAAATGACTCCTACGCGGGAATACATGTGAAAAGTGTTAATGTCGATGGGAGCCCCTTGTGGGTTTTCTGGAAGATAACTGTGATTAGGATATCAGATTCCTGCCAGCTGCTGCTGGTAAGTCTTTCCTCTGAAATCTGCAAGGGTTTCAGCTACAACACTGAGCTGGCTTCAATAGGAGGTCTGGAACTTCAGGAGCAGGGCCCAAAGCACAGCCCTTCTCTACAGCAATATTTTCTAGATTTCTAGCTTTTTCCTGGACCTTAAGCTTGAAATATATAGAAGAAAGTGCAAAGCACCCACTTGGGATCAAAACTTAAATTGAATGATCAGATCCCACTTCTGTAATTTGTTTTAAGACTAGCTTATTTGAAAGACCACATGATATTTCTATTTATAGTTACCGGGTAGTTTTTATCTGAGTTTGTTTCTATTTTATTTGTTAAACTTGCTGTACACAGCTTAGAGACAATTGTCACTAAGCAGAATATAAATTGTCAACAAACAAATAAATTTCAGAGACATGAACTTGAGGAGCTTTCAAGGAAAGGGGAGTAGCACTGATGCTTCAGGGCCTTTTGGTCATAATAATACAAATAACTTATATAACACTTAATTCAAAATACTCTAACTTCATGTTTAGCTGACTCATCCTTATAACAGCCCTGTAAGATAGGCATGTATTAAGATAATAAAAATAATAATCAATATCCCCATAATATTGTCTGAGGCCACTTGTGAGCCAGTGATCAGAGCTTAAATTTAGAAGCAGAGACTGCTTGGCTCACACTTCATAGTTATCTTTGTGGTCTGTGGCAGTCAGCCTGTGTCACTTTTATGGCAGTGGCCCTGGTGTCCATTGCTTCCAGGTCTTTCAGATGACATAGCTGTGCAACTAAGCCTTTGTGGTAGAGCAGTGTTGGTTCCTGGCTCTCCCTTTCTTGCTTTAGCACAAGCCTGGGGACCCAAATGAGGCCTTTATCTGGCCCTTTGAAAAGCCCACAAGCAATACAGGAGGGTTCTAGTGCTCTCCTGCTGTTGTTCCCATGCTACTCTTCTTCCAGGTCTGGAAGTGGGATACAGCCATCATGGCATTGATAGCCTTATCAGCCATCATTTTTTCTAGTTCCTCTTAAAGTTACCTAAGATGATAAGTGAAGGCTTTAATAAGCTTACATTCAGATTTCATTTTTACATGGAAAAAACAAATAATGGCAGGATTGGTAAGAAAGACTTACCTATGCTACCCCTGTTCTGTTCATTTCTTGTAGTATGGATGCTAAGCTATCCTTGCAGTTAACCCTTTGTTGGAGTTGAGTAACAATGCCTTTTGTGCGATGAGCTTACCATACCACCTCTCCAGTGATAGATAGAAATTTCTATAAGCCACCAGCCATTACAAGCCCATAAATTGCTGAATCAAATTAAAAAATATACAATTTAAACCTCTGAGACCATCACTGAGACCTTTCTTTTAATGACAGTCACTAGAAATTTTACAGTCTTTACGGTTACCTCTTTATGCTCAAGTGATGTGTAGGTGATAGACTGGCAAATATTTTGCTTTTATCCATAAAACTGACCACAGCAAGCTTCAGTCTATTATTTTTTTCACACGGGTTAATTGGAGGCTGACATTGTCAGTAGCCTTTTCAGGTTGCCATGATTGTACATTCCATTCTTTCTGAGGTGCCTTTTCATACCCATTTCCCTCAGGTCAATCCACACAGTGAGCAGCCTCCCAAATGGATGGGGAAGGGTTTGGGGAGCTCCTGCAGCAGGCAGAGCAGCTTGCAGCAGAAACAGAGGGCATCGCTGAGCTTCCTCATGTCGAACGCAACCTCCAAGAGATCCAGCAAGCAGGAGAGCGCCTGCGCTCCCGGACACTGACCCGCACTTCCCAGGAGACGGCAGATGTCAAGGCGTAAGTTCCTGGTTTGCTTGAAGCTTTTGGTCGTGTTGGTAATATGCTTATAGCAGCAGACCTAACTAGGGAGTAAACCCCAATGAACCCCTTGGGACTGAATTCTGAGCAATGTGCTTAGGGTTGCACTGCAGGTCATTCTTTTTATATTCTCTGTGGAATGTGTTATGATGTATTTTTAAATTGCTTTTATGTAATTTTATTGTGGGCTGTCCTAGACACCATTTGGGGAGGAAGGGTGGATTATTATCTGTACCCATTCCAACCTGGGTTCAGGAATGAATCTTCCTTGATTACCCTGGTGGATGACCTCTATTGAGAGGGGAGATTGTGAACCTGTTTCTCTTAGTAAATCCTATTGACAGTGGTATCCTCCTGGACTGTCTACAAGAGATGGGTATCAGGGGCACTGTTTCACAGTGGGTCCAGTTGTATCTCCAGGGGCAAAAAGTAGCACTGGATTATTGCTTCTCAGCCCTTTGCTTTTGATCTACTGGTGCTGCAGAGCACTATATTGTCTCTTGTGCCATTTAACACTTACATGAAGCTGTTGGGAGTGGTCATTAGTGTTGGGAGTCTGAGGTGAGATGCCCATGTAGTGGAAGTTGCCCCCAGTTCCAGTCACCACACAGAGGCAGCTTAAGGTCCAAACTAGCTTACTTCTGCAGAAGATAAAGCTTCAGTGATGCAGTTTTGGATGTTGATAAATACATACAGCTTGTAGGCTTTGCAGACACAGATACAAATACAAAGTTGCTCCAGCAATTCAATACATGGTGTGATTTGTGTCCATGAAGGAAATGAATTTCTTTCCCACGTCCAGTTCCTCAAACGATCGGGAGTTTTTGAGCAAAGTCTCATCAGTACACCAATGATACCCAACTCTGTTTCTTTGTAACATCTGAACTAGGAGTGGCTGAAAAGGCCTTGAACCAGTGTCTAGATGCAGTGGTGGGCTGGGTGAAGACTAATAAACTGAGTCTGAATCCTGGGAAGATGGAGGCTCTGTGAGTGTGCCTGGAAGTCAGTAAGTTGCCTGCCCTGGATGGCGTTGCTACTCTCCCTGAAGGAGCAAGTGCATAATTTTGGGGTCCTTCCTCTGTCACTGTGAAAGTATTTGTAGTCTCATCCCCCTGCCTTTTCATGTCTCTTATAGATCAGTTCTCCTTGGGTCCAGAGGTCTTGACATCTCCCACATCTCCCAGCGGTTGGAGAGTCTTAGTGCTGTAACAACATTTGAGCCTCTAGAGCCTGTAAAGGACACAGATATACAGGTAAGGGTCTTTGTGTAATGATGTGTGAACAGTATCAGAATTAGCAGAGAACAGTAATGGGTTACTGCCAGCTTTTGGGGGAAGCAAGTGTTTGAGCTGTACTGATTGCAACACTTTTAAGTACTAGGATAAATAGGGATATGTTCTGTGAAGTTAATTGTGAATTTCCCAGAGTTCTTTTCTTACCTCCCCTCCTTCAGTGATGACAAATTCTACCTTCAATATCTACATGTTTCAAATATTCATGCTTTAAATGTTAGGATCAAAAGTTTTAGTATGAGACAGTCAGGTTGGAAAAATGATTTTGCACATAGGTTGCTTAAACCTCCCTGAAGTTGGTATGATTTCATCAGCATGAACTATGTGCTGCATTCAAGACCCATCTTTGCAAAAAGCCACCAATCCCAGAAGGCAGAATTCTGTGTTTGCCTCCCTTGTTGCATCTGTTTTCTCTTTAGGGAAAGAGCTGTAGCTCAGTGGTAGAGCTCATGCTTTGTGCGTGTAAGGTCTCAGGTTCAGCCCCCAGATTCCCCAGGTAAGGCTGGGCAGCGGGGAGACTCTTATCTAAATCTCTGGTGAGCAGCTTCAAGTGATTGTAGATAATACTGATGCACAATCTATTTTCAGTACAGAATTTGGGTTTTCTTGTACTGAATTTGAAGTGTAAGTACAATCTGTCCTCTTTTCAACATTATTCCTTTCTTTACTGAATCAGCTGCCTCTTCATCTCCCCACCACACCACCCCATTGTGTTGTAGTGGGTGGCACTGGCAGATTCATTAGGATTCCAGACTTTCAAATAAAGGCAGACAGAACTTCAACTACTACATCCTTGTAAACTTCTGTTTTCCTTTCAATCAAGGCTTTAGCCAGAATGGATGTCTATAAAATTTGTGCTTTGAATGGCTCAGTAGTATTATTTGGCCCAAGGTCTTAGCCCATCAGCCTCCCTGCCCTCTTCTGTTAATCAATTGAGTGTCTTGCTGATCTGAACTTGTTTCTTAAACCATAATTTTTTTTACTGTTGATTGGGGAGAGGCATGCCAAATTGCATCTTGGTTAATTATGTGAATTATTTAGCAGTAATAAACTTAGATGGCTGATACAAAAAGAGGGTAGTTTCGGAAATGGCTCCCATTAGAGTAATTGATGAGGAATCTTGTAGTAGATTCCTGTCACTTGAGAGTGGGGTGAGTTTTTTCTTGGGTGGATGAGTCTTTGTATTTTGGAGGGACTTCATTTTCATATCCATTTTGAAGGCAGACAGTGTAGCACTGAAGGTAGGCATGCCTTCATAGGTTACTCTTGAGCTCATGAGGTGCAGCATCCAGTGAACCACTGGGGTTCCTTTGGACCCTCCCAATATGGTTTAAAAAAAACAGGAGAGTCCTTAAGGGAGAACACATGGCTTCCTTCCTATTGTACTGCTCTGAGGAAAGGCAGGATTCAGGCTGTGCTAGAGGAACACAAAGTTCTGATGTTGCTTCAGCAACAAACAACCTGAGCCTGAGCCCTTATTACTAAAATGATAATACTAAATCCATTTGAAGGCCCTAACCAATCAGATATTGAAGGTTATGTCATGATTTGTGTAGATCACGGAGGAGGAGCTGACCAAGAATTTAGTAGGTTTTGATCAAAATAGGATTTTCATTCCATGATTGGAGTGGGGTCCCATCAATCAGGAAGGCACGTCAGCTTGCTTAGTGTTGATCTGTAACTGCTTAACCTTTACCCTTTGTTAGGGAATAAATTTCCTTACAAATAAAATTCTATTCTTTTGATCTATTTTTGTTGTTTTCTGGTCTTGTTTAAATCGCTGACCTACCCCAACAATCTTAAATCTGAGCAGTAGATAGAGGACCACTTGCAGTCAGATGTTGTAATTAAATTAGGACCAGGCCTTCAGAGAAATTCCATACCCCTAAATTTATTCTTCCACCATGACAGAAAATGGTTGGATGTTGGGTTTGTTGAAAGGCATGTCATCATAAGGTGAGGAAGAAGCCTAATTGCCTTTTCACATGATAAAGAGTGATTGACTCTTTCCACCAGTTGAAGACTTGGGAGAAAGCTGCAGCTGGTCCTACCTCCCAGTGAATGTAAATCACAGTGATCTTGGGCTTACATCCTCCTCGTGTCTTCCTCTGGTTGTGGGTACAGGAGGAGGTTAGAAGCTTTAATTTTCATTTTCGATTAACCACAGGTGGCTGTGATGGTTCAAACTGGATAGACTATGGTTAAACTTAGCTATGGTTTGTTGAAACACATGAACTTCAAACCATGTTTAATGAGATTTTCTCATTTCAGCAAATCATAGTGAAAATTAACCACAGTTTGGGGTTTCATATGACAGCAGTTAATTGAAAATGAAAGCAGAAGCATGTGGTTGTGCCAGAGGAAGAAGAGGGAATGCATAAGTCCAAGACTGGCTATGGCTCCACCTCATCACACTAAACCCTAGTTATAACATCATATTCTAACATAGCCTAAGGGGTGTGTGTGTGCAAACTCATGCCCGTTGCCTTCGCACATTATGCTTTAACTGTACTTTTAAAACATCTAAGATGCATATCTCAGAACTAGTGTGGGAAAAGCAGCCCAAAGTGCAGAACAAAGAGGTCCTGTTCTCAAGCAGCTGTTTTTTCTCATGCAATATTTCATTTGATTTTGTATTGACATCACTGCTACATTTCAGGTATTAGTCTGTGCTCAGTGCAATTCCCACTTAATCTGCCTGGAATTAAGGATGACACATCCCATAAATGTGAAATGCATTTGTAATAATAGGCACAGTGATGTTTACTGGGGCTCCTTTAGTGTTACGGTGAATCCACAATCTCTTCAGCTTTTAAATCTTTGGCTTCAGAATTGCCAGTAAGATGACAGGCTTAATGGCATTATGCAAAATCTGTTATACTGAGCTGTACGCTTTGGATTATTTCCCTGTGGTTAAATCTGCAAGGAATCCATTCTACTTTTTAGCTGTTCAAAAAGTACCTTTTAAAAAAATCATATCGAGTATAGGTAACTTACTTTACTTATGCAGTCACAGCTTTTCACAGGTGGGTGGGGAAGGAAGGAAGGAAGGAAGGAACTCTCCATTTATTTGTTCCTCCTCCCCTCCCACACCTGTGCAAAAATGTGATTGTGAGTTTAGCTGACATTGGGAAGGAAGCACAAGGACTCTGGAACCCTTGTGCCTCCTTCCCAAAGCTTAGCAAGTACTTAGGCTTTGAGAATGGAATGTGACAGGATGGCTCTGGGGCATTGCCCTCATGCTGCCTTTCTGAAGCCAGGTTCGCAGCCCTTCACCTTGTGATAGGTGCTTGTGCCTGATATCCTCTTGCTGGTAACAATGGATGCTTTGCCACTGTCCCCAACAGTCTAGTGGTTCTACTTCTGAATGCCAGGTCAGTCCATAACAGAACCGTGCTGATCCACAATTCTGTTGTGGGTGAGGAGGTTGGCTTAGTGTATTACTGAGACCTGGGTGTGGGAGGTGGGTGGGCTAACTTTGACTCCACTCTGGTTGCCCATGTATTCAAGCTTGCATCTGGTGTTGGGCCAAAGAGACTGGCTAGTGATTCTGTAGTTGTTACCTCCCACCCTACTGCTAATCTGCCTCCCTGACTGTGCTGGCCAAGGTTGAATTGGGTGTGATGTTAGAGGAAACAAGAACTGTGTTTTAGGGTGACTTCAGCATCCATAGTGGGGATGCCTCAGATCTAGCTCAGGAGTTCATGGACTTCATGGCAACCATTGGGCTGTTTCAAATGATCATCAGTCCAATGCACACAGCAGGACATACTCTTGGTTTAGTCTTTGCTCTATGTGGGGAGGGTGGTGGTCTGGAAATATAGGGGTTGAGGTTTGGACTTTCAGCGATAATTCTCCCTTGCAAGAATTGACAGTGCATCCTAAAAAATGTGGTCCACCCGAATATTGCTCTTTTGCTTAAAACACAGCAACATTGTTTGCTTAGTTTGTTTATTGATTTACTGAATCATTCAAGGGATAAATTAAATTTTCACCTCTTGAATGTTCAGACAGATTCATTCAAAGGCAGATTTGTTCAGTTATGGTCCAAACTGGTGTGTGTATTAATGCATTAGCCAGATCTTATTTGCCGTATTTTTTGCACCATAACACTCACTTTTTTCCTCCTAAAAAGTAAGGGGAAATGTCTGTGCGTGTTATGGAGGGAATGCCTACGGGTGGCATGCCTACGGATTTTCCTCCTCTAAAAGCTACGTGCGTGTTATGGTTGAGTGCGTGTTATAGAGCGAAAAATACGGTAAATGCCACTCTTATTTGGTCCCAGGGTTAGCAGAAATGCCAGTTGATTGAGTTGGGGCATCAAAGAGTGCTGCTGTATTTACAGTAAAGAAATATTAAAGCAAAAGAAACTGCAGGAGTGTGTGTAAAACTACCTATTGTGTAAAGATAGCATGTGCATTTCTTCTGCATTTGTTGCTGTGCTACTTTTGTCTCTGGCCCCACCCGCAACGGGCATGTGCCCCACTTAAGAAGAATACCCAGAAGGTAATGCTGCCCTTGGGCTGAAAAAGACTCCACAGCCCTGCATTAGAGTTACCAGTGGTCTAATAAAATCAGAAGAAAGTGGGCAGGTGGCAGGTGTGTCCCATGCTGTCTCTCGTTGCCTCATATATCTGCAATCGTTATTGGCTGAGCAATGGGGTTGAGCTGAGCAAGAGTGAAAGTCTTCCTTCTTTGTGAAGACTCTGCCCACCCCAATACTGTTGAAATGCAGCCAAGCTTTAGTGGTCTCTGAAGTGCTGGATTGTGCCTGGATTCCATGCCTGTCCGAAATGTAGGCTCTAGTGCGCTAATGCACTTCGTGAATATTTCATTTGGTAGTCTTGGTTCAGAACACAGCCTTGTTGTTTCCGAAAGCTGTTGGAGAGATGTACTCGGTTTTGTTGTGCCGAAACCTCTGCAAAGAATAAGAGCTTTCCATTTGGTGGCCATCAGAATATGCTGGACAGTAGTTTGTTTGTTTGCTTGCTTGC